CTACTAAAAATAATTAAAAAAAAAAAAAAGTTAGCCAAGCGTGGTGGCAGACGCCTGTAGTCCCAGCTACTCGGGAGGCTGAGGCAGGAGAATGGCGTGAACCTGGGAGGCGGAGCTTGCAGTGAGCCGAGATCGCGCCACTGCACTCCAGCCTGGGCGACAGAGCGAGACTCCGTCTCAAAAAAAATAAATAAATAAAATTTTAAGGGATCACAGGTATATTTCCCTTCCCTACTTCACAGGTGGAAACCTGGGGTTAGTAAAGGTGAAATCAGGAAGAAAACATCGGCTCTTGGCAACAGCTCCCTTGCTTTTTGAGCAAGGAAGCAGTACAACAACGTGTGAAATGCGGTTAACACAGGGCCTCTTCACCCTGGCTGCACATTTGAGTCACCTGGGAAGGTTTGGAAAGCCCAGTATGGGGGCCACACCCCTGGCCAGCTACTTCAGACCCCCTGGGGTGGCAGGGGTGGAGGAGTATGTTAGGCTCCCCAGGGACTTTCAGTGTGGAGCCAGGCTTGAGAACCGAAGGCTTAGATCCAAAGGGCGAGTTTGGGTTCAGACCAGACCAGCCCAGGTTGAATCCTGGCTCTATTCCTTATCAATGTGGCCCTGTACAAGTCACTCAATGCACTCGAGTCTTGGTGTTTTAGTTTGTGTAAAAAAATGGGAATGATATAGAGATTCAGTGAGACAGCCAGTGAAAGCATGAGGCCAGGCATATATTAAGCACTCAATAAATGAGAGCCTGCTACCATATGGGGCCTTCCAACCAATTTATATGTACAACAAATCGGACATTTAGTGAAGGCAAATTCAGCCACAAACCATTACAAGACCATTACATTTACCTATGTATTTATTAATATTTGCTTGCTGATGTTTGTTAAACCCTACTTTGTTGTATTAATAGAAAAAAATGTAAGACTGCTAGGTATATCTTTATTACAAATATCTATCCTGAAGTTATTCAAAATAGCACCTTTTGCTAGTAGACATGACTGCCTCTGGCTTGGTTCCCCATTATCGAAAGGGACATCTAGCCGGGCATGGTGGTTCACCCTTGTAATCCCAGCACTTTGGGAGTCCAAGGCAGGCAGATCATCAGAGGTTGGGAGTTTGGGACCAGCCTGACCAACATGGAGAAACCCTGTCTCTACTAAATATACAAAATTAGCGGGATGTGGTGGTGCACGCCTGTAATCCCAGCTACTTGGGAGGCTGAGGCAAGAGAATTGCTGGAACCAAGGAGGCAGAAGTTGTGGTGAGCCGAGATTGTGCCATTGCACTTCAGACTGATCAACAAGAGTGAAACTCCGTCTAGAAAGAAAGAAAGAGAGAGAGAGAGAGAGAGAGAGAGAAAGAAAGAAAGAAAGAAAAAGAAAGAAAGAAAGAAAGAAAGAAAGAAAGAAAGAAAGAAAGAAAGAGAAAGAAAAGAAAGAAAGAGAGAGAAAGAAAGAAAGAAAGAAAGAAAGAAAGAAAGAAAGAAAGAAAGAAAGAAAGAAAGAAAGAAAAAGAAATGGAAGGAAGGAAGGAAGGAAGGAAGGAAGGAAGGAAGGAAGGAAGGAAGGAAGGAAGGAAGGAAGGAAGGAAGGAGGGAAGGAAGGAAGGGACATGTCTTTGAGCTATGTAGTGGGGCTAGGTGCTAGTGAAGTCAGGCGGTCCTGATCCCCTGTGACAGCTGCTCCTTCCCATGTTCTCGGATGGGCCCTCATGCCCACCAACCATTTGCCTGGTATTGGGAGAAGCTGCTTTGGGACCCTGCAAACCTGTCCTGGTTACAGAGACAATCACAGCTCACTGGCCACCAGTGCCTGGTGCAGGGAGGCTGGCAGAATGTTCCAGAAAGGACAGTGCATGGAGGATGACTCAGGAGAGCCAGGTTCCAGGCTTGCCACTGGTGAAGCTCACTTGCTATGTGGCTCAAGCAGCTCCTTCTGCCTCTCTGAGCTTCAGTGTCCCCTCTCTGTAAAATGGGGATAGCCAAGGCTGCCTGCCTACTCCACCCAGTCCTCATGTGGTTTCAGGGTGAAAAGGGTGGAGGGCACTGGATTTGTTTGCTGTGTCTGCTGTGACAAACTACCACAAACTGGGTAGCTTCAAACAACCATTTATTATCGAAGCATTCCAGAGACCAGAAGTCCAAAGTCAAAGTGTGGGTGGGGCTGCACTCCCTTTGCAGACTCCAGGGGAAAATCCTTCCTTCCTCCTCCAGCTTCTGGTGCTTGTTGGCATCCCTTGGCTTGTGGCTGCATCTCTCCAATCCCTGTCTCCAGTCATGATTTCTGCTTCTCCTGTCAGGCTTCTCCTCTCTGTGTCTATTATAAGGACACTTGTCATTGGATTTAGGGACCACACGGATAATCCAGGATGATTGTATCTCAAGATCCTTAACTTAATTACATCTGCAAAGACCCCTTTTCCAAATAAGGTCACATCCACGAGTTTCTGAGATCTGGATGTGGGCATATCTTTTTTTCCGGTGGCGGGGAGCAGTGTCAACACTCAGCCCACTGCCAGCAGCTCGTAAGTCATTTTAGTGAACTTGAGCTGCATCCTATTGCTAGGGGCAGTAGATTTGAGAGTGCATGCCAGCCCAGTGGGTTGGTGACGGTGTCCTGGAGAATAAGAGCACATGATAAAGGAACACCTACGACCTGCCAGGAAGTGCACTGAGTACTTTGACAATTTATCTCATTTTATCTTCACAGCAAGATACATTTATCTTCCCCTTCATCAGATGGGGAACCCTCCTGAGGCTCAGAAGCATGAAGTGACTTGGCCGAGGTCACTCTCATAGTAAGAAGTGGAGCTGGCATTTGAACCCAGGCAGGCTGTGATTTCACAGGCCATGCTCATAACCACTGCTAGCCACTGCCTCCCACAGATACGAGCAGGCCTGAGGTTGGCAGGGAAAGAGGCCACAACTAAGGGCCACATGTGGCAGGAGGCCTCGTAGGTCACATTCGTGCATAGTTACAATAATAATGATAACTAATGTTAATAATCACAGTCATAATCACAGCTAATGATGATGACATTAACATTACATGTGGTGGTGTGATCATGGGAGCTTCCTACAGCCAGACACCGTGCTGCATGCTTTTAATGTATTATCTCATTTAATCTCACCAGCACTCTGTGAGGAGGAAACTACTATTATCCCCATATACAGGCTGGCCCAAAAATCCATGGACTGTAATATGACAACCCACAAAAACAAACAACTCACGGGGAGAAGAGAGCAGGGTGGAGAAGCCACAAAGCTGGGGCAAATTACTAAAAATAACTGTGTTTCAGAGGGTCCTGGTTTTCAGCTTGGCCCTTGATCCCTCACTGAGTAGGACTCCAGTACCCTGCTGTCTGCATCTCACTTCCAGAGAGGGCTCCAGGAAGCCCCAAGTCCAATCTTCCTCCCCCAGACGCCCCAGCTGCAGCAATCTTTGTCCATCAGGCCACAAGCTCTGGCTCCCCCTCCCTCCCCAATGGTCCCCATCAAGTAGGCAACATCCTGCTGATTTTAACTCCTGCACAGCCCTCAAATATACACCTGCCTCCCATTCCTGCACAATGCCCCAGTTCAGGCCTTCACCACCTTGTTCCTGGGCTACTGCCCAAGTCTCCCCTGACTGCTCTCTGGACTTCTGATACCTTTCCAACTCCCCACTCAATAAACCCATTCCCCTCTCAAGAGCTGGTGTGAATTCAGGAAAACTGAGTTCCAGCCATTTCATCCTCATACTGATGACCCTTCCAGGACAGACCCTTCCAGGACCTAGTTCAAACTCTTTAACTGCATGTGCAGTACATGCCATTATCACCTGCCACTTCCTCCCTTTTCAGTCTTATCTTCCACCCCTCCTTCAATCTTGACTCAACTCCCCAGCACTGACCTGGTTGTAGCTCCCCATCTACAATGTGCCGTTTGCACCTCAGGGCCTTTGCACAGGCAGGTCTCCCTGAAGAAATGCCATTCCCACCTTCCTGGTCTCTCTGTCCCATTTTCCAACTTGCATACTCTTTGAGGGTAGGGACTGTGTCTGTCTTATTCACGGTTTTATCCATAGTCTCAGCATAAAGCCTGAGTCATAGGAGGGGATTTTCTTTTCTTTTTTTCTTTCTTTTCTTTCTTTCTTTTTTTCTTTTTTTTTTCTGTTGTTGTTGTTTTGAGACAGAGGCTTAGGCTGTCACCCAGGCTGGAGTAAAGTGGGGTGATCTTGCCTCACTGCAACCTCCACCTCCTGGGTTCAAGCAATTCTTCTGCCTCAGCTTCCTGAGTAGCTGGGACTATAGGCGTGCACCACCATGCCCAGCTAATTTTTGTATTTTTAGTAGAGATAAGGTTTCACCATGTTTGGCCAGGCTGGTCTCGAACTCCTGACCTCAAGTGATCCACCTGCCTCAGCCTCCCAAAGTGCTGGGATTACAGGCGGGAGCCATAGTGCCTGGCCTTGTGGGGTTTTTTTTTTTAATGTTTTAATTAATTGCCAATATTTCAATGTTGGGTGATTTCATAAAAATTCAACTTCAGGCTTCTCTTGAAGATATCGGGATCTGGCAACCCTGAGCCTGGTCCCTGAATGACAAGAATGGGCTGGGGTGAAGTAGCTGCTGCCCCTTCCACCAGGTCACTGGCTGTCCAGTCCTCACTGGCCCACCCAGCCCACTTCATTCATCTTTGTCACCTGCCTGGCCCCTCTGGTGTCTGAATTTCCAGGTGTCAGACACATCAAATTTAGCTATGAAATCCTCCACTTAGGCCCGTACTTATTCGGTCTCCGATATGTGGCATGCCGAATAAGCTGACACTTACATCAAATTAAACCTGCTTTTCTTAGCAAAGAAAGAAACAAGATCAGTCACAAAGAGTCATTTATGCCCATGAGATTTTAAAAAGCACAAGCTGTCCAAAGTCAGCACAGTCATCCTCATAATGAGGACAGAGGGACGGGCCCTCTAAAGCAGCACTTCAACTTTAATGTGCGCAGGAGTCACCTGGGGCGTCTGCCAAACTGCAGGTTCTCATGCAGTGGCTCTGGGACAGGGTGTGAGACCACGTTTCTTACCAGCTCCCAGGGGAGGACAATACTGCTGGTCCCTAGACACACCTTCAGTAGCAAGGCTCTGTGACACCCCTGCAACAAGCTAGAGAGTCCTAACCCCCAGATAGCTCAGCTGTCCCCTGGGGGCAGTGCCACCACCCCTCCTGCCGGGACAGAATGTGTTCCAGGTCATTCAGGTATTCCTGGAATCCACCTCTGGTGTCACCACTGGTGCTGAAGGTAGGAAGCCCTTTGCTTGGAATACCCTGTTGCTTCACTTTGGTCCAGGACAGGGAAACATGGGAAGCAAGGGACACACAGCAAGAGGAGTGGGGTGACGGTGGGGGTGAGGGTGGGGTGGGATGGGGTGGGGTGGGGCGAGAGTTGTGTGAGGATGGGTGGGGTGGCAGGACCCAGCTATTTATGCCTTTACAGGTGCCTTTCCCATTCCCCACTCCCTACCATCATCGAGTCCCAAAGTGGTTTGTCTCATGGGGTCTAAGATGCTCCCAGAGGGACCAGAAGACCCAGGTTGGAATCAACCTTAGTCACAAACTCCAAATTGCAAGTGTGTTGTTTTGAGCAGCCTTCACAGGCAAGCTCATGTTCCCGGCCTGCATATTATTTTTCCAGGCGGCAGGAGGGAAACCCTTTGCCCTCCCGCATCGGGGATCTCAGAGGAAGCAGAAAGAAACTGACACAGGCAGAGCGGGTCCCAGGGGCTTCTCACCCTGAGCCTGTAAACAGGAAGCACAGCTATACTCTCAGGAACACCCTGGTGTTTGCCGGTTTGTTTTGCAGCCCTTGGGCCCATTCAGATAAACAGGGGAGAGGATTGTCAGAAACTCACCGAGCCCTTCACGGCACTCCCTATCTCGGCAAGGTTTGGTGATACCAAGGCTGCTGGCCAAAGATTTGCATGGGGGGAGGGATGGGGCCCGTGCTATCGGCTGCAGGGAGGGTCCCACCTTCCCCAAATTCCCCTTCTGCCATGCCCTAAAAGAAATATTTCTCGGGGCCATCAAGGGTGGAGACGCCAACCTGTCCCTGGTGGTTGCAGCCGGCGTAAAGCTGGCTGCAGCAGCGGGCAGGAGGAAACAGGAGACGGGGTGCCAGGCCCGTATCAGGCTGCCTGCTTTCATTATTGTCCTATGTTTTCAAAGTACCAACTCCGAAAACAGGGGGGAGGGTAGAGTTTTGGGGCTTGTTCGGCCTAGGTATACACAAACAGCAGCAGACAAAATGTCCTTTATCAGCTATTTCCCAGGAAACAGGGAGAAAATTCTTCTCAGCGCCAGATGATTAAAGAAGAGGCTCACCCTTCTGGGAGACAGCCCTCTCTTTTTCCCTCTCCCCTTTGCGGAACACTAAGTCACTGTTCCAGATGCCCACCAGGAAGGTCCCTGTTGGAGAGGAGGCAGCCACAGGGCTGGAGGAGGAGGTCAGCTGCTAAGGGGACCAGCTCACTGCCAGCCAGGGCACAGAAATTCTTTCCCAGGAAAGGGGATGTTATGTAGCCTGCTGGGTAAACTGGAAATTATTAACCACGGGATGAGTAGAATCAAAAGGTTTTGAAAACTGGTTGTTGGCTTTACTGGGAGTTGCAAGCACGCTAGGGAAAAAAATATTACAAACCTATTTGGAATTTTTTTTCCCCCTGAACCAGGAAGAAGCGTTTCTAATAATTCTGTCAAGTAAAGCTCTCCAGTGTTCTTTCCTGCTGGTATGTCAAGGGTGGTTTTGTTATTTCTTCACACAGATGGCCAAGGAAACAATGTATTTTTCTTTTCTTTCTTCCTGGTATTTTTTCCCCCTAAAAGAATTTGAGTCTTTCTAAGCTGACCGTTTCTTATTTTTTTCTTCTCTATTTCTGATTTAGATAAAATGGTGACTTCAAAGGGACTTTGAGACCACTTACATCACAGTAGAGTTTGAGGTTCCCTCTCATCATAAAAATAATAGGTGCCACCTCCCGCCATGGTCAGTGAGTGTCTGGGTCTGCATGGGTGCCTCCCAGCAGGGCTTCTCCGAGGCATGTTGTGTGTGCAGACCACTTACAGATCATTAGAAGAGCCTGACTCAGCAGTTCAGGGCCCTCGGGGTCAGCATTTCCGACCACTCCCATGGGATGCCCATGCTGTTGGTTTCTGGACCACTCATTGAGAAGGAAGGCTTCTTCCCCCAATCTCATCTAATCAACCCTCATCTCTTGTTGACAGGATTTAATTTATTTTAAAAAGCTGAGGGATTTTCCCTTTGAAAGAGAGGCAGACAGGCCTTAAGCAATCTTTTTTTTTTATTATTTTTATTTTTTTATGAGACAGAGTTTTGCTCTTATCGCCCAGTCCGGAGTGCAATGGTGCAATCTTGGCTCACTGCAACCTCTGCATCCTGGGTTCAAGAGATTCTCCTGCCTCAGCCTCCCGAGTAGCTGGGATTGCAGGCGTGTGCAACCACGCCCAGCTAATTTTTGTATTTTTAGTGAAGACAGGGTTTCACCATGTTGGCCAGGCTGGTCTCAAACTCCTGACCTCAAGTGATCCACCCATCTCAGCCTCCCAAAGTGCTGGGATTACAGACGTGAGCCACTGTGCCTGGCCAGCCTAAGCAATATTTAATCTGCCTTTGGAACAGGCGGTGCTGACATGGCAAGGTGAGCAGATGTAAGTAAGATACCTGTGGGTACAACAAACCCAGGCTTGAGACGTCTTCCCTGCGCTGTGAAAGAGGGGCATATAGACTTTGAGTTTTGGAGGCAGAAAGGTAAAAGTTCAAATCGCAGCTCTGCTACTTACTAGCTGGAGGGCCCTGGGTAAGTCATGTCACCTCTCTGAGCCTTAGTAAATGGGGCTATAAAATGGGGGTAAACTCTACCCCCGAGGGTTATGGTACAGAGCAAATGAGAAAACACACATAGAGCACCTTGCATCTGCCCAGCACCTCATATCTGCACTATAAGTGGTAGCTTTTCATTTACCCAGCAAAGTCAATGAACACCTGCTAATTTCCTGGTCTGTTCTACTCACTAGACATATAAAGGGAAAAAACAGATATGATGGTCAGAATAACGCACCCCAGAGATGTCCATGTCTTAATCCCTGGAGTTAGTGGATATGTAACCTTACATGGCAAAAGGGACTGTGAGATGCAATTAAGGCTAAGGACCTTGGAATGGGGAGATTATTCTGGATTATGTAAGTGGGTCCAATGTAATCACATGGGGATGAAGGCAAAGAAACTTTCCCGGCTATGGTCAGAGAGAGATGCAATGGCTTCGAAGAAGGAGCAAAAAGCCACAAGCTAAGGAATGTAAGTAGCCTCTAGAAGCTGACAAAAGAAGAAAAAATAGATTCTCCCCTAGAGCTTCCAGAAAGGAATGAAGCTTAGACCTGTGTTGTACTTCTGACCTACAGAACTATAAGATAATATATCTGTATTGTTTTGGCTGGGGGTGCGGTGGTGCATGCCTGTAATCCCAGCACTTTGGGAGGCCAAGGTAGGTGGATCACCTGAGGTCGGGAGTTTGAGACCAGCCTGACCAACATAGAGAAACCCAGTCTCTACTAAAAATACAAACAATTAGCTGGGCCAGATGGCACATGCCTGTAATCCCAGCTACTCGGGAGGCTGAGGTAGGAGAATCGCTTGAACCCGGGAGGTAGAGAGGTTGCAGTGAGCCAAGATTGTGCCATTGCACTCCAGCCTGAGCAACAAAAGTGAAACTCCATTTCAAAAAAAATTATATATATATATATTTAAATATATTTTTATTTTATATTTTATATTTTTTTTTTTTTTTTTTTTTTTTTTTTTTTTTTTTTTTTTTTTTTTTTTTTTATTTTATTTATATATATATATAATATATATGTATGTATGGTTTCAAGCCACAAAATTTGCATTAATTTGTTATAGCAGCAACAGAAAACGTCCAACTGACACGATTTCTGCTCTCACGAAACTCTCATGTGGACAGATGCAGTAATCGGGTAAATGAATAAGTGAGCAAGGAAAGATTGAGTTACACTCCATGAACACATGCAGTGATGAGACAGAAAATGAGTTGGGGGGAATGGGTGCCCAAAAAGTCCTCTCTGAAGCGCTCGTGTTTCCGCCAAACCTCAATAACAAGCAAGAACAAGGCAGGAAGAAAACAGAGCCACGCAGAGGGCTTGGCAAGTGCAGGGCCAGTAGTAGGAACAAGCTGGGTGTGTTTTCCCGTGGAACAGTGGCCAGTGACAGGGGAGTGGCCTGTGAAGTTGGAAAGGCCTGTGATGGACCAGACCAGGAAGGAGCTGGATTCTAAGTGTGATTTCTATTCTTCTGGTGTATCACCGAGCACATTCTGTATGTCAGAGAAAGTCACCGAGACTTGGCAGAGAGCCAGAGACGTGGCATATCGGTTTGCCTGAGTGCTTTGCTGTAACAAAGCGCCCTAGACTGGGTGGCTTAAACAACAGAAATGTATTGGGATTTTTATCTCAATACATTTTATTCCAAATGTAATATCAAGGTATCCGCAGTGTTGGTCTCTCCTGAGGCTTTGCTTTGGCTTGTAGATAGATGGCTGTCTTCTTCTGGTGTCTTTATGTGCTCTTCCTTCTGTGCGCGTCTGTGTCCCAATCTCCTCCTCTTATAGAGACATCACTCATGACTGGGTGTGGTGGCTCACGCCTATAATCCCAACACATTGAGAGGCCAAGGTGAGATAATTGCTTGAGCCTAGCAGTTCAAGACCAGCATGGGCAACATAAAGAAAACTCATCCCTATAAAAAATAAAAAATAAAAAGTAGCCGGGTGTGGTGGCATGCACCTGTAGTCCCAGCTACTCCAGAGGCTGAGGTGGGAGGATCACTTGAGCCTGGGAAGTGGAGGCTGCAGTGAGCCGTGATTACACCACTGCACTCCAGCCTGGGTGACAGAGTGAGACCCTGTCTCAAAAACAAAATAAAACAAAACACAAAAAACAAAAAAAATCAGTTATGTTGGTCATTAGGGCTCACCCATATGACCCCATTTTACCTTAATCACCTCAATAAAGGCCTTATCTCCAAATACAGTCCCATTCTGAGACACTAGGGGTTGGGTCTTGAACATGTGAATTTGGGGAAGATACAATTCAGTCCATAACATCTGGAAATATTGGTTCCTAATGATGGTGGTGATTGCATTGCCAAGACCCGTCTTTAGAAAACTGTTTGAAGGAATCCCCTTCACAAACCACTTGATTGGGGTGGAGGAG